TAACTGCTCGAATTTATTGGGGAAAAGTTTTTATATTTGCAAGTAAGGTTTTGACCGATAAGTTTAACCTGTTTACTTATAATGGGTTATTATGGGTAGTGGTAGCCCCCGGGGGAGAAGCCAACTCCTACCGGGCGCGTCCCCAGGTGGCGGATAGGGGAATGCCACCCGCTTAGGGCGGCGGGTGGTACCGGAGAAATCTCCGGCGCGGACCAAATGGCTTGGATGGGGCCGCTCGTCTAGGCCTCGAGCCGAAGACGTTGCGGCCACCGGTGGTGGGACCGCTTGGTCCCACAACCGGATGATGGGTGCTGGTTGCGGGACTGTGGTTGCAGGCCCGCATCCGGCGGAGGGGTAGGCCGCGGCGGGAGAGGAGTGCCGGTATTTCGGTGCGCCGTTCTCCCTACCTTCCGCGGCCTAGACGGGGCCGCCACCGTTTGATGGCGGACGCGGTGGGGCTGCAGGGGAAGAGGAGTGTCGGTGTTTCGTTGCCGCTCTCCCTGTCCTCTGCAGCCGATTGGAGGTGGCCCACTTCGGTGGGCGGTGGTTAGGTTTAATGGGGCTGCTCCGGGTACCTCTCTGGCGTAGCAGAGTTGACTGTGGAGCAGCCCCATCGGTTTGGTGGTCTGCCTAGCGTTTAGGCAGACCTGCCGCCGGGGCGCCGTAGTAGTTATGCGCAAGCGATCCTGCGGCGTCCCATTAAGGCGGAGGGGAGGGGAATGTCGGGTTTTAGTGGGTAGTACCGGCTCTTCTAGCCGGTGAGCCCCACATCACCACCTGGGGGATCAGGTGGTATGCGTAAATGCATTTCCCGACATAAAAAAAAAAAAAAAAAAAAAAAAAGGGTAGTGGTAGCCCCTCGAGCTCGCTCGCTTGGCAATCCAAGTGAAGGGGGTTCAAGTCCCGGATTTCGCACCTCTGATATTTTCATGTACGAAACATGACGACAATTAACATGATTTCCTTACACTTGTCTTACCGTGAAGGAAAACATCGTGAGGAAACCTGCATATCTGAGAGAACCTAGCAAGATTTTGAAAGACATTTGAAGTTCGCCAAACTGCCCTTGGCTGGCGTGAGAAGGACCTTCTCCTATATTTTGTATATTTTTTTTATGTGAACAATAAAGAGTAATTCATTCTTTCATTCATAATATCAGGATTTAATATAACTTTTCTAATTAGCCTCTACTTAGCCTCACCTGCCCTGAGCGTTATTATAGATATTATTCCAAGCAATTCCAAAGCATGGCATCAGCTGGTTTCTTCCAGGACATAAATTGGCATAGCTTTAGTTTCATCTGAGGCTCGCGTTTCTTTTGTCGCGGGGGGTAAGGTTGACAAATGGGAGAGCCGCATCCGCGAGCGATACAATCGGTGCGTTGCTTACTGTGCTCGCTATGAAAAAACTAGGGCTGCTTATGCTGCTATGGAGGTCTATTTAGTTTTTTTTGTATTCGGATATATAATTTGGTGATATTTATGCAAGTTATTAAGTCTTTTGTGTGGTATTGGTTTAAATTTAATAAATTTTAGTAAATAGTTGAATGTATGACTCTAGATTCTTTAATACTTATAATATAATTAATTAGTTTATTAAGTTGATAGAATATGTATAATATCAAATTTGTTCTACATTCTTGAAAAATCATTTGAGTTTCCAACATCTTCAACATATCTGCAATTTTAAGATAGTTTTACATCACTAAGGTGGTGAAAAACTGACGACAAACTTTATTGTAGGTAGCGTTATTTTATTTTACAAAAGAATGATAAATAGTTATTAAATAAGCCCTTCGGCAGCCCTGGCACGCGTCACTGGACCCGTCCCGGTGTGCCATTACTCACTGTCGTCCGCCATTTCGAGGCGCCACGCCCGCTACGACGCTACGACGCTACGCCGTAGCACTTCGTATGCTTGCTACTAATATTATTGTTTGCGACTTCGTCTGTATATAATTACTTATGGAACTATAATTATGGCATGTAAAAGTGAATTTGAAATTCTTCGAATGTGATGTTAGAGTGATCTTTAAGAAATTTTAAAGCTTTTTAATATACATATTAAGACATTGATATTTTTGTTTAAACAAATGATGATTTCCAATAGTTATAATTTTTTGTTATTTTTTATAAAATTTTTTGATCTTTTCTTAGCGCAACGTTTTCTTCCATTGCATAGTACTTGTATATGTAATATATTTAATTAAAATATTTTATTAAACCGTTTTTTAAGTTTTACAAATTGTGTTATTTCTACCAGAGTTAATTCTTCCGTTCTTAAAAGTAATAATATTTACGACTGTACTTAATATCCTGTAGATTATCTTGCAAGTATGTAAATGAATTTTAGCAACAGTTCTAAATAAGAAAAAGTTGAAAGCAATACAACATGTTAAAAAAATTAAATACGCTCATTTTAAATTTTATTAATTTACTTGAGTGAAAGGTAAAAATACTGTGACTAATAAAAATGAAACAAAAACATTTTTTTTAGTTTTTAATATTTTTTACACAATTCGTAGCATTCATAATGCCGACACATTTCCTCCTGCGTCCCGTCAGCGATCTGATATTGACCAAACTTCGTGAAAACCCACTTTCATACAATAACTCGTCAATTATACAATACAAATATATAATAATTTTAGAAGTCGTATTTAAGGTGTTCCGCTGCGAGACGATTTCATTAGTACTATATTTACACTTGCTGACTTCCAAACTCAAATATAATATACATACATATGATAAAGAGAAAATCAAAATAAAATTCTTCAATTAATACATTAATAGCTAAAAACTACTAAGACTTTCCTCTTAATAAAATATATTACAAGTTGCATTAACAATAGGGTAGTAACAAAGTCCGGTGCTGATTTCAATTTTCCAAATTAATTTTTTTAATACTGAAAATTTATTGAAAACTAAACGGTTTATACATAGAGTTTATTCACGTTTATTTACAAAAGTTAACAAATATACTTCTAAAAAAGATTTCATGCGATGTGTTTGCTTTTGGCTGTTATTACGCGATATTCATGCGTTATTTCTTTTTTTTAAATTGTTCTTTTCATTCACAGTATAAAAACAAACACAAAGCATTCACAAAGAATGGTTACACTAGAATAAAGCTTGTCCCGGATAACTATCGATTATGAAGTTAACCGTAGCTAATACCATTTCAATTTTCCTCAAATTTTAAAAAGCTCCATTCGTATACTTGGCTTAAGGCTGGTAATTAACAATTACCCTTGATTTCGATTAAACATTTTGGTTCCGTGGTTCATGTTATATAAATAGATAATATATCGTAACGAAAACAAGGATTTCTATAAACTCCACGGAACGCGACCGTAACGCGCCAATCTAACTGTCAAACTCGATTGACATAAGAATTTGACGTTGACATTTAAAATTGTATACATGTGTTGTCTTATCAACGTGAGTTAACATTAATGTTAGAAGGCAATGTCAGGTATCAAGACAAAATAGAGCTAAAAATCTCGTTTTTAACAGTGTAAAATATCATTTTATTTCATCGTATACATCGGTTACAAATTGTGCTACATCATTGAACACCAAGGCAAGGTGAATATGATATCCGATACCCATAATATATATATATTCTATATAATTCAAAGATATGTACGTCACCTGTAAAGCAAAACTCCAATTAAATGTTTGAAACGTGAAATTGACATTTACTTAGCTAAGTTGAGCTTTCGAATCCAATAAATAATGGTGACAAAGTGAAATAAAAGTAAGTTTCTAAAGTAACCATTAATGGTTGTTCCCAAATACGTTTAGGTTATCGCACACGTCACAGGTCATTTTGAGGCTTAGTTCGGTATTCAGCCTTAGTTTAATTTGCGTTTTGATTCCTATAGAGTCACTGTTACTAGTGTTGCCAGCTTTAATTGGTATTAAGATAAATAATAAAAAAATGTGTAAAATCTATAATTCTTTCATAGAAACGCTAAGTTTATTAAAATTGTAAATATTTTAACGAATTCAATTAAAAACAATAACATCACTAAATAAGTAGAATTATGAATATTAAATAAAAATTGAGAGAATTCTGGCAACACATTATAACAAAAACCCTAAACGTGTACGATTCCCATATAAAAAAGTCACAAAAATAATCCAAAATCCTTTATAATTTAGACGCTTTTACAAAAATGTCGTTCCACAATCCAGCGCCCAACTTCCAGTGATAGTTTCAACTTACAACTAATCAATTATTTATTTATATTTACGTAATAACAATACACAATTAGCTATAAATATTTATACGATAACTATCAAACCGTTTTATTGTTACATTCATCATTTGCTCCTATAGGTCGAGTGATACCGCGGTGTTGCACCAGTCGAGGTGTCGAGTATGATACAGTGTCCATAGTCACTTCGTAATTTACATTAATTTAACATTAAAGTTGACTTTAAATCTTAATTTAGGAGATCGTATACTGTTTCAAATATTACAAAATGTTTCGCTTTATGTACATTTAGCATCTCCTGTTTTTCCTATCACGGGCGCGAGAGCGTTAGTACGCGTGGCGTTCCTGTATCGGCCTCGCTCGCCCGAGGGCCGAACGATGTTTTATTCATATCTGTAAAGAATGTTATGTTATTAGAACAAATAATTCTGGGTTTACAAGAAATCGATCATTCATGCTATGGGATCCTTTTAGTGAAATCATCTCACCATATTGGGCAGAAACACGAGGGTTGAATACTTTCAACTTATAAAGAATAAAAATAATATTTCCCAAACTTTGGTCAGCATAACTAGTTTTAAGAAATCTGTGCAGTTCTACCAGAAATTGTTCACATACAAACAAATACCTTAATTTCACTATTTATAATAGTCTTAGAAGATAAAATCTTATCCATAAAATGAAAAACAAAGTAGTTGGGTATGGTATCTAGGGAAAAAACAAGTTGCGATTTAAAACGAACATTAAAATATACTTACATGTACAAATGCGCGGATTAAAGATGATGTCCATAGTATTCGGCAGGGTAGTGCGCGTAGCCCTGGTGGAAGGCAGGGTCCGTGGGGGGCCTGTGCATCATCTGCTGTCCGTCCATCATGTAGCCCATGGTCGCCTCGGGACTGTACGCGCCGCTGGGCCCCGCGTGAGGGAACACTGCCGGGTAAAACACTGCATTGTTAATTAGAACTGCTCTAGATATTGGCTTATGGGGTAAAATTTGTTTACTTTGCAAGCACTTGTTCATTTTAGTTTTTTTAATGAATTTCAGGATAAGTATTTGTATCTGTTACAATTTTAAATGCCACCAAAGTTATTATGTAAAACAGATAATATAAAACATATCTTTACTTCCTTAAGTATCAGGTAATGCCTGTGTAAGAAAGATTTCCGTTACATAAAGTTAGAGTAGTTTCCTTTACCCCTAAATGTAATAACGTACAAAAAGAAAAAATATTTAGAACGTCTTCCATATATAATTTCCTATAGCCGAGCCCAACCTATTTATTGTCAAAAACGCTGACATCGAAATTAGTTTTGTCAGGACGCAAAAAAATCTAAAATTGCTTTCAATTGTCAACTCGGGCATCGAATCCGCTCAATTTTACCACAAAACTGTTATGCCTTCCGATAGCAATATATCCATGGGGATTATCAATCGTAAACTAATGGTGTACGTCCATTATTGACGCCGATTTCCGTCTTCCTCGTGGGGCCTTTATGGTGGCACGCGTCATTGCACCGATCGGCACAAACACGACTAATGTTGTGATCGAAATTACTATCGAGAATAAGCTTTTTTAAGAAAAGAAATCGAAATTCACAATAGCAGGTCCATTTGCTTAATTATGTTTTTACGAGTCCCATACACGATGTAAGTTTTAGGTTGAATTTGAATGGAATTTTAGATTTAGTTAGAAGGTAAACATTTTTTGTATCATAATTAAGTTTTTAAGTAAGTAAATATAAAATTTAGAACGTATAATATAAGTTCAATTTTATTTTTTTACAGCAAAATTATTTTTGCAGCCACTTTATGATACCAGATTTTGCTTATACTGTAATAACTAGCTAAATAAACTCACAAGCAGATAGAAAGCTAAAAAAGAATAAACAATCAGTCTAATAAACACTGCATTATGTTTTTTGCCGATAAAATACAATACTTCATCCGAAGCGAAGCAATTCGAAAAAGTGGCAAGTTTTTTTCCTTTTAACAGAGCTACAACGCTTTTCCACTGCAGAATATTAATGTGTTCTGCGCAACAATCGCAGAGCGCTACGGAATCTTATTTTTTTAGGGTTCCCCCGTGAAAAGGTAAAAATAGTAGTGCTTAGTCGTACTAGCGATTACTGTTATATTCTTATTGTCTAAAAGCCTGCAAAATGCGCTCGATGTTATTGAATGTGTCCATGTTATATGTATACGAAATTTTGAATATTTTCTTGAAAATTTCAAGTGCCTTATATCTCATATATCGGCCATATGCTTTATAAGTTTTGATCTTCTTATACATAGTTATAATTTGAATTATCATCTCTTTCTTATAAGATTTCGTTTTTATAATCTTTAGTTCTGTCCTTTGTCTCTTATCTTCTAGACAAGGCTTTCTTTAATTGTTATTGCTTTTAAATAAGATGGATTGACATACTTTAAACCATATGACAAGCTTTATTTCAAGATATATTTTTGAGTTTATTTTGGCAATAGCCATCGTGGAAATTGCTATTGTGGGTTTGTCTGAAACCCTTTTATTCAGTTTACGTATTTTGTATTTATGTACTTTAGTAATGTCAGTTTCATAAGGAATTATGTTTTTTTTGTTTATAAAGAATGATTCTTCAAAAAATGACTTAATTCATATAATTAAATTGCTTCTATAGTTATTTAAAATTCAACTTACGTACAGGCATACATGCTCATATCTTTTATATATTATCTTTCAATAAAATTATAACTTTTTTTAAGTTTTTATTTATATTTAATATGATTTCACGCTTGGCTAATAGAAAATATTACGGTGCTATAATTCTCAGGTGTTTTGAATAGGTGTATTTTAGTCACGCGATGTTCATGCGCTGATTAATTATAAAGACTGATGTTTGCACTTCATCCATTCCATACAATGTTATACATATAGTATATACCTAATACTTTATTTAATTTATATTCGTGCTTACACTGTATGTAGACTTGTGGAAGCATGGATTTAGCATTTTTTAGTAAACCCGATACGTAAGTACTTCTCTTTAGAAATTTTGATATGGTATGTGCACATAACGTTGCTACTGTTGAATGGAAAGATCTTTTAGAGTAATAATTTTCTAAAATATTATTTTCATATAACTTTATTAGTTAATAATTGATAATAAAACTCCCAGTCGAGGAGGGCGCGAGGTTCATAATTTTGGGTAAAATTCGTTCTGCTAGTGTAATCTTACAAAAATGTGAAATTAAAATTATTTGAATAAAGCAATATTTATACTAAGTTTCAAAGAATTCCGTTTTGTATGAAAAGGTTTTACCTCACACCTGCCTTATTTTACAAACACAAAAGTCCATGAAAATCGATCAAGCTGTTTAGGAGAAGAATTACAAACACACGCACATCGGAATTTTATATATAAAGATTATTTCTAATACATTGTGCTTAAAACAGTTCTACCACAGTCGAATATCCCACTAAATCACGCTTTCCTGATAGTGCAGTAGCAGGGATGTTATTGTTTCCTGCCCTCTACTTCAAGCACAGGAGATACGGCCCACTTGCTGTTCCTTTATAGTCGCGTATAATTTAGTTTTTGGATATGAGAAATAGTCAATAGCCAATTTTATATTATTTTCCCGATTTTATATTAAATTTTAAATCTAGTTTTTATTACGAGTAATAATTCAGTGAATGTTATGGCTTTATTTGCTCAGACGTATGTATATAAGTACGTATAGATGGATACGTATAAAACAGTATTTTTATTTTTTTGGTGTAGTACTATTGTATCGCAATTTTAGTCACAGCTGCCAATATAATGCCAATATAAATTTTATATTTTTGGTTTTAACTAGAACTAGTTTGAAGGTTCATATATAGAGAAAATAATTTAATTTTCTTATTTAACAAGCACCAAAAACATCCAGACACATAACACCACTACCTATTTGCAAATTTAATCAGCATAAAAGCTGAAACTCAAATATTTGCCTGTTCACTTCATTGTCTTGAATACAAGGCGACAGACTTTTGGCGCTGCACTGTAACGCAGGGGCATAAAACAAGTGAATTCTAAATTCCTGTCGGATACGCCAACTTTCCCCGAAAAGGGAGATGAAAATTGTTTTGGCAATCGCTTGAAGACCACACATCCTGCGGTCAAGCCAACTTTTCCAATCGTCTGTTTATGTATTCCTGCCGCGTACTTCTTTTCTGCTAGTGTTTTTTTGGGTTAATGCATGATTTGTCAACGTTTCCTTATTGCTCTGTTTCTACTATGTGTATGTGAAACGGAAAACGCAATAAAAAGTAGCCTACGTTCAGTCCGATTGCCAATAGCTATCGCATTCTGTTTGGTTTACTGATTCGTACGAAACTCTTAAATAAGTGATGGACATAAATTTCTCATTATCTTTTATAACGTAAATATTACTGTGTTCTTAAAATATGCAAAATCGAACGATATACATTTTTCTCATGCAGACCACACATAATGAAAATCGTCAATCGCCTCTAAAACTTTAATAAGCTCGCCAAAACAACCAACTGGAAGTATCATAAATATTACCGAACATTTAATAGTTCCACATTTACAAGTTCATTTACGTATGGCGCTCACATTTCCTTTGATGTTCTCCGCCAGTCATCATTACGGGGGGTAATGAGTCAATAACGTGTTTTACCTTTTTAATAAACTGCTTGCCGTCAATTTAATCCGCGAAAAGCCGGATAAACGATTGGTCCGAAATAGTGGATCGCAATTTGCAGTCTCGCAGGATAATAGCAGTGCATCAGAGAGCAATTTATGCTGTTATAATAAATTTATTAGCTCGGGATGGCTCGATCGCGTCGACAGGTGGGTCGATAGTTGGCTGTCACAAAAGTAATGCTTATTTGGAAGATTAATTACGTCTGAGGATACTTCACATCGTTCGTGGCGGGAAATTAGTCCGCTGTTTAAAGTTGATGGATGCTTGTATGATGGCGGTGGCGATTGGTTGGAGGTGACTTTTACTATGATTACTAGACATTATAACAGTGTTGAAATTCAAAACATTGATCAAAGAATCTTGTACAAATAACTAGTCTCAGATGCCAGAACTTTTGTTGAGTAATGGAATAGACTAAAGTTTGTTTTTTTTATTTTAGATCATTTTGAAAAATACTTCGTCTTCTATAAAATTAATTCGAATGTCACGAATTTATATATAGTCTTGTGCATCAGCATAAGTTCTTTGTACATATATTAATATCTGTAGCAATTTCGGATATCTCAGAGACAAAGGCGATCTAATCCCATGTAGTAGCACACATCGAGATAGGGTAGCCGATTGTCGGGGGCGCGTGATGGATGGCCCAGGACGGGTCAACGAATTCCTACATTATTCTTTTTTACCCTTCTTTCGTTCGTAAGCCCTTTTTGCGACGTTCTTTTTTCTCTTGGAATTTTTACGTTTTATGGACTGTTACAATTACAAAGTAAGGATGGAATTGCGCCGTAATTCTTGAATTGTTGATGTGCTGGTTTTTGTTGATTCGGTTGCCTTCTGAATTTTATTAAACTAACTGTTATCTTTTTGTTAGTATAATCCTTACATCGTATACTTTAGGGAAGATTAAGGGCACTATATCTGTATAGCTTCATGTATGTAGGCTTAATCTCTTTTAATCTAAGAAAATGGAAATCGAAATTTATTTTCGGTAAAAGGAATTCTAACCGGATATTGTTCCACTGCACCAATCGTATAAATACTACACAATACACATAATTTTTTTCTAACACGTAAAATCTCATTTAAATACCGACGCTCAGAATTAAATTTCATCGTTATATCAGCAATTTTTGCGATATTGCTACAATTTAACTCCGAAACTATATCCATTTATCCTTTTTGTTCCTAAAAAGGCTCTCGATGGGACTGGGAAATTCATTTAAGCATTGGTCAGTGCGGCCGGTCCCGAGGGCTTGGTGGTGCATACTGTATGAAGACGCAACTCGATTGTCGACTTCAAAGCCGTGGCTCCTGAATTTCAATGAAACACGTACGTATTGATGGGGCCTCGGCTTGGGGTTTTAGGTGGAACTGACCAAAGGCATATTAAGCTCTATTGGTGATGTTACTTGAAAGTGCTTGCATTTTGTATTAACTCGGATTTTATAATATTGTAATGTAACTAAATGTTATATTTGATTAAAAATATCGATTATTATTCTAATATTACTTTATAAAATCGATATATGTAGACAATTTCTCGTCTTTTAAAAAAATTGTATAAGGATATTATACTTATAAGAAAAATGTTACCTGCTCTATTAGACTGATCTATCATAGGTTGTACTATCCTACGTCTCGCGTTGATAAACCTGAAAAGAAAAAGAAAATATTATTAATCATTCTTATTTATTATTAAAAGACACTTGCGTCAACATTAAATGTTTTAAATATAATAAACAAAGAGTGCACTTTAACGTTTGCTAAACATACTCGTGAGCATATAGTTTGCCGGTCATAGAAGATATTATATATTGACTAGAAGATATTATACACCTGAAGAACAAAACAATTAATAATATTAGCTAAAATAGTAAGATTTCAAATAAAATTACCTCGAAACGTCAGTATTTTCATGAAAATACTTACGAGATATGAATAGAGCCAAGTAAAAATTTTATTTTATATATATCCAACGTATTTGAAGCAATTACTCGCATCGGATAGGTTATGAGGTGAATAAGTAACCGAGCGGGTGCATTCCAAAATGAACTGTCGCCATGAGTTGCGATATCCACCGCCCGCCCGCGATTGCTTTGTTATTTGATTAGTTTTTCATGTAATTTTATCGAAATCATATTGTACAGTGAATTTTGCTTTAAATGTCAAGCTGGATAGGTTAGAACTTATATCCATACCTACTAATATTATAAATGTGAAAGTGTGTTTGTTTGTCCTTCTTTTACATCGAAAGGAAATGACGAATTGGCGTGATTTCTTGTGTGGAGGTAGTTGGAGGGCTGAAGAGTGACATAGGCTACTTTTAATCGCGGGAGATTATTTCATTTCCACGGGAAAATACGTTAAAATACAACCCACAACAACTTATCATACCTAAGTACATATATGTACAGTCTATCTATTCCATATTAACCGTTAAAACGTACCTAGGGACGAACCCAAGCGAAGCGAGGGTGAGTCGCTAGTTGGCTTATAATTTTGAAATTGCTCGATGTTAACATAATATATTAAGTGAGCATTTCCTGTATAAATTTACATCGTGTATCTCGGAAATGGCTCTAACGATTTGGATCAAATTTTGTATTTAGATAAGGTTTTGCATATTAATATTTATACATATGTCTTTTCTGGAAGAAACGGAATTTTTATACAGTTTTCGAAAAACGTCGAGTCTTTAAACTTTCATTGTCACTAACAAATTATTTGTATTAAGTTATATTCTGCATTTCTACCAGTGACCATGGCGCTTTCAATAGTACTAAAAAATGGGAACTCAAAAATTAAAAGGAAAAGTTTGAAAAATATTGGTTTATAGATTTTGCCAAAATCCAATGAAAATATCTTATTTAAATTATTTTAATCGTTGCATAATGAATAAAAATATCAATATATTGTATATATGAGATAAATAATTAAAAAAATCAGTTTTTGCTAGTATGATTTTGGTAAAACGTTATATTTAAGACTTAACTCTTATCTTTCAAATACAATATCTGCCTCTTAGTACTTAAAAGATAGAGATGACAGATCCCTGTGTAATATAATTAAATAATAGTTATTTTAAATAATATTTATACTTTTAAATATCTTAATAATGTGATGATGATGATGATGATCATCATCACAAACGTGATCATTACAAAGTAGGCTAAATAATGATAATTTTATAGTTCCTAAAACACATGTATGTAACCAAGTCACGTTAACTATAACAGTGACCCAAAAGAGAATAAGAGTGATCAACAAACATAATGAACATTGGAAAATTATCTCCAATTTAAACTTGTGGACCCTTCTAGGGACGTAATTACTCTGAAACATGGCTAGCGTCCGACGCGACTAATGTATTGTTAATATCAAGATTACTTAATTAACTCTTCATCTGTGCGCTCGTACACTCCCCTAACGGAAATCGCTACATATTATTGCTATAATACGTTTCGCTTGCAAAAAATATATGAAAATAATTGGAACTTATCAATTTTAGGCAATATATAAATAGGCAAAGTCAAAACAGTACCTTTTCTTCTCAGCTTGGCAATCAATTTTACTTTTTTTTTCCAGTAGTTATTGACAGTTTTAGTGTTATATGCAATCAATTATTTCTAGCATATATTTTAAATTGGTACAAGATTCGATTTATACTACACTCTATATAACACATACATAATTATTTTTCCAATTTTACAGATTTCATTTCTGCCTATTAATAGTTCTAGATCTAGACCTGTACTTTTCAAGACTATTGCCAAATATCACTCAAACAAATCTTTTTTACCAACTAGCATTGCCCGCGGCTCCTCCCGCGTTCAGATGACCAAAAATTTTGCATATTAGTATACTCTTACATTGCAGTTTTAGTATATTTTCTCAGAAATGAAATATTTTCTCGCGGTAAAAATTATGCTTCATGTTGACCCGGATAACCAGATATCACCATACAAAATTTCATCAAAATCCCTCCAGTGGTTTTTCCGTGATGCGGTAACAGACAGGCAGACAGACAGAAAAAAATTATAAAAACTATAGATTCGGCCTCTGTATCGATAATAATGTCCATTTCAATAAGATTTTCCAAAAAATATTTAAAGTACAGATTCGGCTTAGTTACAATTTTAGTATATGTATAGATAAAACATTTTTTCAAATTAACAAAATGTACCGACAATTGCAACTAAAATATAGTTTATAACATGATTACTTAATTAGCCCTTTCATCTGGCCGTTCGCACCGTCTCCCTTGGGGGATGAAAAACGGTAAGTTAAACGCGCGACGTGGGGGCAATTCCTTGTATTAATTTTGACAGCTAAAATTGTTATTACAGTGTTTCTCTTGCAATATGTTACGGAGTGAGAGATTTATTGCATCGCACTTATTATCCGATTACATATTGTTCATTTAAGAATAATATTGATTTGGTTGGATAGGCTTAATAAGAGTTATGTATTTTAATATGTACTACCACATTTAACGTATAAAACAACATTAAAATATTTATGAATTTTGACATAATACATATCGTGGTTTTTAAATGTACAGATAATTTATCTTTTTTTTTTAAATATGCTAGGATCAAAAGCTAAAAAAACAGATTAAAAAAATAAAATATAAAAAAAAGCCAAATACAAAGTGCATGGTTAAAATATACATCCACGGTGTACAAACCAAATCTCTATGAATCATTAACTTTATCGGGAGTCCTATAGATATTTCGAACAAAGAGCATGCATCCATTGCAACAATAACATAACATGGAATTTGCATTTGTTTATCGGTTACTGTACACCGGACCCCAGATGGCGTCGTAAATCATCTTTGCTAATGCGAAGGGTTGAAGGCGAAATATAGTGACATGTAATTCCTTGTAGCCATCTAAAAATTGCACATAATTTATTGTTTCGAATGCAAATGAGATTAATTGTTCAGATTTAGCCGAATGACCCCTCTGGCTGTGAACAGGGTAGTTTTGAGTGTTATCTATTTGGTATGGGTTTAATAACAAAAATAATGTTTTACTATGCAAGTAGATCGATAATAGATATGGTTTTCAGATCCCATAGAGAAAAATATCCACTATATAGACGACACGTTTGGCTCAGTTTGTAGTGACCCTACTTTTTGTGCCAACGGTCGCGGGGTCGAGTCCCGCTGGCGGCATTCATTTGTGTGATGAGCACGAATGCCGTTACTCCAGTCATGGGTGTTTATATTTATAATATGTATGTATTTAAAGTTGTATACGTGTAGTGTATCAACTATCTGGTATCCATAACACAAGCCTCGTAGCTTACCATGGAACTAGATGGTCCTGTGTGTTAATGTCCCAACATGTCCTATTATAGTCCCATATTACTTACATAGGATTGATTTAATATGTAAATAAAATTCCATTCAAACTCAAATTCACAATATTTTATTTACAATTAAATTATTACAAATTTTTACTAAATAAGTCTACCACCAGTTCAGAAAGAAGAAGTCTCAGACCTGAGAAGAACTGACGAAAGAAACTTAGCTACAAACTTCAAAATTGCATGATGCCATTATACTATCGCCTAAAATGTAATTCAACAATAAATACTATAATTGAAATGATAAAACTTTCAACTAATCTAAAAAGCATTTTCTCTACATAGGACTCTACATCTCTAGTACGTTATCTTCTTATAAAAACTATAAGGATTTTGCTTTCCTCATTATTTTTATTACCACGCGTGTACAAATAGGTTATGTTAATAGGCCCTCGAAGTCATGATCTTTGGGTATATGTTATTATTGCGCCTGTGCCTCTCCCTAAATAGGAAAAGTTAAAATGTCCATTTAGTTACTGGAACACGTCCGATACGATCCTAATACTAGCCGAGGGAGTAAAATTGAGTTCCTGTTGAAATATATGCCTGCGCATGTGGCGTGCCTTCATGAGTAAATATGGACCGGTCTAATTAATTTTTTTTGTTTTTTTTTTAATTATTACTTAAATAGGTGCCAGCGTTCGCGGGTTCGAGTCCCGCTGGAGGCATTCATTTGTGTGTTGAGCATGAATGTTTGTACTCCAGTCATGGGTGTTTATATGTATAATATGTATGTACTTAAAGTTATATATGTATCAACTATCTGGTATTCATAACACAAGCCCCGTAGCTTACCATGGAACTAGATGGTGCTGTGTGTTAATGTCTCAACATATTTATTGATATTTTAAATTTATTGAATTATTAACATAATGATCAACTTTCATTGAATTATTTGACTATTGGTACAGATAAAAGATAATATAGCAAGATATTTCATTAGAAAATGTTTTTAAGTAACTAGTTCGGAAAACAAAGAACATTCATTAGAGCTAGCATCTCTCGCAGCATCAGGCAAGGGGTGGATTTTGGATCGAGAATAAAATTTAATTTCGTCTCAAAGTTTTTGGATTTTAATTACCTGAAAGCAAATTAAATAAGGGGGTTGTGTAAAATTCCAAGAATTCTAAGACAGCGAAGCGGCGCTCTGTTAATTTATTACGGTTGGCTCTAAAGTATTTCACAATAAATTGATTATATATAAAGTTCTAGGTGATTGTTTTGAAATTTTGTTATTTGAACTAGTTTGAATGCGTATAACGATGCTTTATCTTCATATTAACGTAAATAAGATATTATTATTTGGTAGCTTAATAGTTAATTGGAGGTAAAAAATAAAGTAAAGTTGTTAAAAAACAAATAAGATTTAATAGATCAATTAAAAATTTCTCTCAGTTTTCACGTGTCAAGTTCACAGTTGGTTGCTTACGTTAATAAATTACGTCGGTGTGAAATATTTATTGAATTGTGCTACATTATTTCATAGATTTCCACTTTCAACAGAGATATCTATATTATGTTACATAGTGTAATATAGCTGTAAATTAAACAAGAAGAAAGCCAGAGGACAGTAGTTGTAAATGAAGATATAAAGTAGAATTGATCTCCTGAATGCCCTCGGAAATGC